GGAGGGATGGAGCCGGCTGGTGATGGCGCGTTCCTGCTGGTCGAGCCTCATGCGGGGCTGTGGCTCACGCTGGCGCATTGCAGTGAAACCTCACCGACTTTCTTTTTCATGACAGAGCAAGCCTTCCCAAACGTTCTTTTCCAGTCATGACTTTCCGACCGAGAGAGCGCCTGCTAAGTATGAACACATGCACGTGTTCCAAAAGACCTGATCTGGAGGAGTCAGAGCCTGGGCGTCCTTCTGTCAGGGTAACTGTAAATGCTTTGCTCCTGCTGGCAGGGCAGGGGCCTGCTGCCATCATCTCTTGGTGCTGCTGTAGAGGGACTGGGGTGTAACTGGCCATCCTGAGTCAGGGGACACAAGGCCTGGTGTGACAGTGAGCTCAACCCTGAGGGTGGAGGTCCTGGGACTCTATGGAAAAGCCGTCGGGTACCATGAGCACCGGGCTGAGTGTCCAAAGGCGTACTCCTTGCAAGAAGTTGGAAGTGCACCAGTAAGGGGTCGTGTTCTCGCCTGTAACTCTGTCCTGTAACAGGACAGAGGTCTCTGCAGACGCAGCGTGACTGAGCAAGTTGCAGCTCGAGGTGTGGTTCCCAGAGCGGCACTGCCAGCCAGCGCCCTGTGTGCCCCCTGCACTGCCGAGTCAGGACGAGCGTCTCAGAAGGCGCCGTGTGCAAATTAACCACGAGAAGAGACACCACTCTGGGGACAAATAGGCCTGGCCTTGGGCGAACCACTGTCCATGGACTCTCAAGCAAGGGCGGCATGAGCCAGCATAAGGTGTGCGTTTTAAAGTGACTTGCAAACGATGCACCATGAGGACTGTGCTGAGACATGTCAAAAATTGTGAGTCCCAGACGCCTAAGGATATTTCAAACTGGAAATGATGAAAATCATTCAGTGAAGATTCTCTAAGTTTGTCTTCTGGACAATGAAAGGGTTTTGTTGTTGTTGTTTTGTTGCTTTGTGTTTGTTTTTGTTTTTCTAACAGCGAACTTGATAAGGGGGCTCCTTCAGCTCAGCTTCATTCCATCGTCACCGATGTACTGGGGTGTAAGTAATTCCCCCAAACTTGCATTGAGTAGAAGCCCTCAAGGAGACAATTCAATTTCCAAATGTAAATTCCAGCCACATGTAGAGGGAACACATCACTCCCATCCCCTGGTGAGCAATGAGGCTTCCCACAAACCTGATTGCCTCTGACACTGTTGCTGTTCCCGGGAAGGGCTTTTCAACGCTGAAAGAAGCAGCTTCAGCTGGGAAAAGATTTGCTCTCGTAAAGCTGGAAGTTTACGCTTTCTGTGCATGAGTTTGAGGGAAGAAAGACAGAAATGATGAGGACAGACGAGAGTGTTCAATGTCGTGTGGGTGAGAATGGCTTTTTCCCTGAGCGTTAATTACAGTGTGTGTGAGGGTCATGCCACAGCCCAACGGGAAGCCTGGATGCACTGGCCTCTCCTCTGTACGTCCCTTCACCTTCCTGCATGCACTGGCCTCTCCTCCGTACGTCCCTTCACCTTCCTGCTTGCACTGGCCTCTCCTCTGTACGTCCCTTCACCTTCCTGCTTGCACTGGCCTCTCCTCCGTATGTCCCTTCACCTTCCTGCATGCACTGGCCTCTCCTCTGTATGTCCCTTCACCTTCAGGCCACTGCTAAAACCACTGAAGGAACGAGCCCTTCCCTCATGGGCTGAACTTGTGAGGTGAAATATCGGATTTCAATTAGAATAGCAAATTCACATTTTAAATATTTTGCTACAGCAGCAAACATTCTGGTGGCCAGTTATTATGTTATGATGATAGGCAAAAATGAGCATCAAACTCATTCAAGGAAGTAAGTAGTACAAAATGTGTACCTGGCACTATTGGTACTTAAGGACATGTTGGCAGGAGACCTTTTAGTAGCAAAAAATAAATTGTGCAACATTTATTATTTTTAATTTGTGTGTGAAATTTGAAGGTGTGTGTGTGTGTGTGTGTGTGTGTGTGTGTGTGTGTGTAGGCCAGAGGGCAAGTTCAGGGTTCTTTCCTCGAAAGCTCTCCACCGTGTGCTTTGAGGCAGGGTCTCTCCATATGAGCTTACTGATTTGGCTAGGCTAGTTAGGCAGCTAGCCTCGGAGGTCCTCCAGTGTCCACCTCCTTAGTGCTAGGATTACAAGCGTGCACCACCACACCTGGCTTCTCACAAATGCTCTAGAGATCAAGCTCAGGGCCTCGTGCTTTAAGCCAAAGCCTCTGCTCCCTGAGCTACTTCTTCAGCCCTAGTGTGATGCTTGTATGATAAACCAAATTAAAGGAGAGTCCCGGCTCTACCAGATTAGAGTGGAAACCTGATGCTTCGCCTGGGCTTGCCACAGTCCCATTCACTTGAAGGTTCTTCTCAAAGTCCAGCCATCGTTCTCAAATACCTGTCAGTTGCACACGGAAGGACCCTGGCCAGTGGCAAAGGGGACTGTTCAGGGCTCTCTTGATAGTCTGGGAGGGAATCAGCCAGGGTTCTGTCCTCTGATTCAATTCGCTCTGACACTGGGTGAACAAAGAGTCCCTTCCTTCTAAGCCCGGTTCTGTATTTGTGAAGTGGGTAGAGCCAGAGCACCCTTTAAAACCCAGTGTTACCAAGTAGCATTTGGTCTTCTTTACAAAGGACTGGGGAAGTGTTTCTCCTGGAAGCCGCCCTGGTAGGCCCGCAGGGGTGCTAGGGGTTGGGCATACAGAGTTCCCAGCCAGGTGCTGTCTAGTGAGTGGGACATCCTGTCTCTCCACCTTCTACCGGCCAAGGAACCTGCTGCTAAGGATCACGCTAAGACCCTGACTGCTGTGTGCTTGCAGGGTACCTCGGCAGCCAGCAATGTCGCCGCTGACTCTTCCGAGCCCTCAGCACAGAGCTGTCTTTTCACACTGCCACCCAGCAGCAGGGTATGTCCTAATTATTATTTTAATTTTGTGTTGGCAGAGATACTTTGAGGGAAGCACTCCCTTCAGGGGGCTATTGAGACCTCCAGACTCCTGGCTCGGGGCCTCTCAGCACACATGAAGAGCATATTGGTTTCCCCAAACTGTCCTCCATGCAGCTCTTACCCTGCTGCTTGTGGGAGCCACAATGTTCCCTGAGTTCAACCATGCCTCCTGGGATGGAGGCCGCACACCAAAGGGAAAGTCTGCAAAGGGCAAAGCCAGCATCCGGATAAACAAACATCGCCAGCACTTATGCCGGGCATGTGTCCCTGGCTGCCGGGTCACGGTGAAGAATTAAACAGAGGCTCCAAGCTACATAATCAAAACAGCCTCTTCCTTGACTTTTTTTATATCAGCCCTTTCCTACAAGAACTTCTTGAATGAACATATACTGGTAAGTAAGACATTACCATCATTTTGTGTTGTGCATTATGTTTGTTTGCTTTTGTGGGGGGCAGGGGTGGATGGGAGCAACCACATCCAGATTGCTCATGGTAACAGCAGTAAGGTTCTCATAGCGAACATTCTTCCTTCTGGAAGTTGAAATGATACTATGCTAAATGGCTAGTCAAAGTACAAGGTCAGGTTTATAGCAGCGTTATGGAACTGACAATTGAGCACTGCACTTTGGCTTCTGTGTGAAAAAGTCCTCAAAAGCAAAATAAAACTCAAACTGGAAAATTAAGTTTGCATACAATTTAAATGAATATTACAAAAACCAAAATATTTTAAGAATATGGGAGGTATAAATGAGTTAAGTATAAATTCATCAAATTGGGCCATTTGGCATGTGAGCTGCCCCATAAAACCTGCAGAACTCCCGAAGTTAGCCTTCCAAGTAGATGGTCCTCGGCCTTACCAAATTCCCTCTGAAAGCTGCACATTGCTCACCTACTTTACACAACCTGAAATACGGCATTTACCCCATGTGAACTCGTGGTAAAGGCATCAGGAAAAACATTCCGGTCCTCTACACAAAGCCTCATTTTGAAGGGAACCTGACTGGTAAATTTATGCATCCCATGAGTTTCACAAGGGGTTGAGACATTACAGGTGCAAGTCGGTGGCCATCATAAACGGTGCCCGAATAAAGCCCCAAGCAGAAAGCCAAGAAGCAGGTCCCCAAGGCCGGCAGCGTCTTCCATGACATCATCTGTCAAGTTTCCAGCATCTTGTGGTAGGGACAGAAAGGCTTCCATGGCGCTGGGGCATTACCGCCTCCTGAGCTGTGGAGCTCCTTTCAAATACAGGGCAGGGTGCTTTCTTTAATCAGCTGCAGCTACCTCTCCACACTTGCGATAGATAAATACTGAACGAAGCACTAATGCCCATCGACCCAGCTCACTGCACTCCCGATAAACCATTCTGATGCAATCAGACAACGGCACATAGAACCAATCTTTTTTGGCAAACCAGTTCCTGGACTTTTTTAAAAATGCTAAAATCAATCAGCATGTGTAGTCGTTGTGAAAAGGACCAGAAATTATATTGTCTATTATTATTATTATTATTATTATTATTATTATTATTATTATTATTGCATTTGAAACAGGCCCGAAGGGTAGCATTGACTCTTTAGAGGTCCTGAACCCCATGGTATCTTAGGGATATCTTTCTCCGGGGCAGTGCCTTCTTTCCTGATGGGACAATGACCTCAGGTGCTAAGAAGACCACACGGAGAGCTGAGAGTTCCTTTATCCCAAGTCGCTGCTCTGCCCTCATCCCTCTCTGCAGTGAAGCTGACACCAGCCCTGAGTTACGAATACACATTTTTTGGTGATGTGGAGCATGGTAGAGCGCGGACTCTTCCGCCATCTCCCTCCCCATCGTGACTGAACAATCCAAGGGGACCAAACGGATGCTTAATTACAACACTCAATTTAAAAAGAATTTTCAAAAGAATGTTTTTTAAACTTTGAACATACTTTTGGCATTATTGGACCTGGCAGAATCCCTCACGCTTGCTTTCTGTGAAGAAAGGAACAGAGCTTGCACCATGGTTTCTCTGTTGGTTGAGGGACAGAATGACATGGGGGGTTGGTTGGTTGGTTTGAAAGTTGTTTTATTTTAAACATGGGCATGTGAATTTTACTTTTACATAGCTGAATTCAGTACATTCCCTCAAAACATAATACATTTTTACTCCATAGCTTAAGGGATCCATCAGATAAAATGTTGGTCTTTCATCTTTATTACCCTCCCATTAAAATGAAGGAAACCGGGACTCAGTTCAGTTCAGAAGAGGCAATTTAGTTGGTAATGTCCTCAGTCCTCAAGCCTTTTCAGAGGGAGAGAGCCGATCAGTGAGATTTCACACATCTATCTGCATAGGAGGCAACTAAGCCTTCAGACATATACTGTGTTAAATTTAATAATAGTCTTTGATTAGATTATTTTATTACAACATTTTTCCATTACCAGTCATTTCCGGAGCATACTAACATTCATAAAACCTCCCCTCCCCTCCTGTTTGTTATGTTTGTGTAGGGAGAGCGAGCAGTCTCTCCTGCTCTACTGGCTAGGTCTGAACGGGGCAGATTAATAACTGCGCTCCACACTGGATGAGCCTTCCTGTCCCCTGCACCAGCGGCGCTTTGCTATGACGAGGACACAAAGAGGCCTGCTACCCTTCTTCATAACTCAAAAGCGTCCTGGTGGCAATAGCCTCTAGTGCTATTTGTCTTTAGTGCAGTTGTGACACTTCAGCATGATCCATAATTTGGCAGCTATTTACCGTGACATTTCCCTTCAGTGCGGCCATAACATTCAGTGAAGCCATTATTCGGTTCCATTTACCATATAAATTGTATTGTTGTGCATGCACGCTAGCAGCTACATTAGGTACCTGGAAATGAGTAAATCTCGTAAAATAGATACTAACAGCTATTCAGAAACAGGGTCTCTCTGCTCTTCAGATGCAAGGAAAGAATTAAATCTGGCCCCGATTCTTGTGGAGCACTCTTAACTGCATTCCCATTTATTGAGCATGTTGGCATACTGAGACCCAAGACTGAAGGATATGCCCGGTCTTCACCTGCGAGCGGAAAGGCACTGCGTGGCTTCGACTCTGGCACCGAAAATGAAGGGCGAGCGGACCAGCCATGGTTGGAAGACAGCAGAGGCACACAGGCTGACGCTACAGCAAGGGGACATTCCCCACTCCCACCACCAGGGACGGCTTCTGAGGGGAAGTCATGGTTTCAGACAAGCTGGGCGCCCACTGTGTTTGGGGTGACACTTGCTCCTTGGGGACAGGAACTAAGCTGTTTTTAACCTCTCACATGCCAGAGTGGGGCCCCTTCTGCCACCCCTGCGGTTGCATACGTGAACCTTTTCCTGAAGAGGAGGCACAAAATTTTATCCTTCCTCTGTGCACATTAGATTTCACAAAGTCTCCCTCAACCATGGCTTTCTTTTCCACTGTTTCTAACAGTAATTTCTTCTTAAACAGACAATCTTACCAGAATGTGACTTCAAGCCATCACAGAGTAGACACGTCCATCAGACATAGCTGTTTGCTGAATCACTTTTCCAATAACTTAACAAGATTAAATTTGGAGAATTCTCTCCCCAACGACTATTTAGAAGGTGGCTAGTGATTGATGGGGAGAAAGGGCTCCTTGCAGAGCACATGGCCTGGAGAATACAAGGCTGACGGCACTGTGCTCTCACCTGCGAAGTACTCCAGCAGGCACTGCTGCCTCTAAAGCAGAGGAATCTGAGCCATCTGAATGCTGATTTAAAAATCTCATCAAGCTGGGGACGTACTGACTCCATCAGGCCTCGCATCAGGAATTAATTTACTTCCCTGGAACAATAAAACCTGGAATGAGACCATCCATGACTAAAAAATCGAGTGTAAATGTTTTACCTCTTAGCTATAGAGAGAACTTTTATTGAGGCGCATTATTTTTACGGGGGAGGGGGGAGGCGGAATTCATTCACACTATACTTTTGTTTTAAGAAATACTGTATTCACTCTAAGGCATCGAAAATTCCTTTTCTTTCTCCGTTGTTCTATGTCATCATTCTGTTGTCACAGCTTACTGCTGGCACAGTGAGGTAATTCAGCAACAAGTTTTCCAATATTTTTCCCGGCGTACATATAATCGACAGCCCGGAATATGGACTCCAGGCCAATGAACCTTCCCCCTGGAGCCTGGCACCCCAGGTCCACCTCACACACCAGGTCCCCGCGAGTGTACAGCTGCAGCAGTTGGTCCATGGCGGCCTGGTACTTGGAGAAGTAGTGGTTCAGGAAGAAACCCTGGAGGCTGGCCGACTTCTTCAGGAGCTTGGCCGGCAGAGCTGCGGCTTTCACTGGTGAGAGTCCTGTAGGGCTTTGGTAGCCAGAGATGAACCCAATCACTAGCAAGCGCCCTTTGGTGGCCAGGGAATCCACAGCCAGGTCAAACATGGGGCCCCCAACAGACTCGTAGACCACATCGACGCCTTCTGGGTATTCCTGCTTCAGCACCTTCTCCACAGGCTCCGTCCTGTAATTGATGGGACGATCACAGCCAATGGACCTCAGGAAAGCCGACTTCTCGTCCGAGGAACACGTTCCGATGACATGACACTTGGCTATCTTTGAAAGCTGAACAGCGAACTGGCCTGTACCCCCGGCGGCTGCTGTAACCAAGACTTTCTTCCCTTCTGACAGCTCCCCGAGCTCTGTCAGGCTGATGTATGCAGTGGTGCCACTAACCAGCAGGGTGAGATACTCGGGTTTCACTGAAGGCACAGGGGTGGCAACGCTAGCAGGCACCACTGTGTACTCAGCAAAGGAACCGGGAGCCACATACGCCACAGCCTGGCCCACTGCGTACTTTGCACTAGCCGAGAGGCCCAAGGCCACCACCTCCCCAATCCCTTCAAAACCTATGTCAAAGGGGGGCTTCACAGATGGGTCATAGCGGCCAGCTGAATAGTTGATGTCAGATGCATTGATACCAACGAATCTAGAAGAGAACAAACACGGATTAAGATTCTTTGTTATAGACCTTCATATCTGCTTAGGGTTTTAAAAAAGGATCCTCTGGTCTCAGTGAGCGAAACAGTCCCGAAACTATTAGCACACGACAGAATGCGGGGGGGGGGGGGGGGAAAGGACTCCAATATGTATTAATTGGAGTTTGAGCAGATTTTCTTCCTTTATAGTTTAAGGATAATTTCATATTATGTTAATCAGCAGGTGATATATTTCTACTTCCTGTGCTATTTACTTCTGTCCTCTTTCAAAGGGAGAAATAAGGAAGAAAAACAAACACAAAAAAGGAAGGCAAGCTGGGGAGCCCTCACTGCAGACTTCACTGGGAGCTCTGAAATTAACTGGTCTCTTAACAGAGACGTTAAAAACAACAGTGGGATAAAATATACCCGAAGAAGCACACTTGTATTGATTCTGGCAACAATTTAACACTTCAGATAATAATAGTAATGACAACGATATTATTAAAGATGGATGGGTATGCAAGGTCATTCCTGTGACACCTACTGCCCCCGTTGTTTGAGATGCCACAGCAAATTTTCTCTCTGATGTAACTATGCCCAGCATGAACACATGCATTTTGATTAATTGAACAAAAACTGGGGAGAATGATTTTGATGCAGCATTCAGCATTTTACAGCCTCTTTCAGATGAAAAGGGAAGCAAGCCCTCACTGTATTTTCCTCAACAAGAAGCAGAGCCGCAGCCTGATTAGTAGCAGATGGCTGATTTCCTTTTTGTAGCCAGGCTCACGTTAGCTGTGAGGCCAGGATTTCACCAGCTTTTCTTTGTACCCTGGTATACCTCACAACAAAAATATCTCCATGGGGAAGTGGTGGCCATCTTCTGAGAAAGTCGAGGAAACTGTAACACATAAGGACCCTAAAAATGCCATTTCCTCCGTAAGAAAGTGAGACGATGGCGGGTGAAAAATGCAAAGAATTCACTTTTAATTTAATGAACCCAAACTATCCATCCTCAAGGCATACTTTCACTGTCCATATGTAATGCCCCATACCAAATGGTTCCTCACAAGTGTTCTACCGTAACCATCTTTCTAGGCTGTGGAAATAAGAAAGCTGGAAACAGTTTCTTCTACCAAGTTGCTTTCAGAGGCCAGCCTGCCTTGCCTTTAATAATTCTGTAAATTATGCCTTCTGTACTTACAGATAAAGCACAGTAATGAAAAGTAGAGAAAATCAGTTTCACTCATTTTTTTTTTTATACCAAAATGCCAATATTCTGTTTTTCTGGAGAAGGGGTTAGCGGGCTGTATCTTATACTTTTCCCTTTAAATTTACACACTTTTCCAGACCTGACCTTTCTGAAAAGGGCTGGCTCTCTAGATCTTGATTCTGGAGGTCCCAGGACAGGCCCACTAAGAGGCAGCTGCAAGGACATCTTACTACTGCCCTACACCCCCCCCCTCGGGAAGGTCAGCTCCAGGAGCTGGGCCAGGGCAGGAGGCATCTTTGGGCTGCTTTGCTCAGAGGCTGGGGAGCAGAGACCAAGTGCTGCCTGTCTGCCCTCCACTCAAGGTTAACCCTTCCTGTTCCCCTCCAGGCTGTGCGGCATCTCAAGGCCCACAGGGGCCGCTCTCCTGCCGGGAGCCCCAGAAGCTGAGGTGGATCTACCGGAGAGGAGACCCTCCAGCCCCTCACCCTCCGCCCTCCACCCCTACCCCGAGGACACTAGTTTGAAGGGGTGACAGTGTGGCTCCGCTGAAGCTGGAGGCACTGCTGATGGCCAGCAGAGGCTTGGGTTGGAGATACCCGGCATCCTTGTGAAGATCAGCAGCGCCAAGAGCTGGTGAGATGGCGCTGCCCAAGGCCTTGCGAGCCTCTCCCCGCAGCACTCCACCCTGGTCGGAAAGCCGCGCTCCACACTGAGGAGCTTCGGGACAGGTCTGTGCTGGGAACCGGGGCCTTTCCATCGTCACCATCTGAAGAGACATTAATGACCCCAGGGAGCGAGACTTGGCTGCTTGTCTCCCGGGCTCTAGGGACAGGTTCGTCCAAGTCCCAGAAAAGCTACTCGGAGCAAAACCTGCCACCTTGACCAGGGTTTCACCTCCATTTACCCAACTCCCCATCCCAGTCCTCTGCTAACTACCCTCTTTGCCCTCTGGGAATGGTCCCTATAGCTTGGATTCTGGTTCCAGAATCCCTGTCTACCCGGTACTACCTCCTGACCACATCCCTGCCCAGGTGATAGGGACCTGCCACTGACTGGGATGCACCTTGGCCCAAACTGGGCCTTACCAGACCTATGCAAGCCTTTAGCTCCCCAAGAAACAAGTTCAAGGAAATCAGGCTCTAAGGGAAAGAGGAGGAAAGGAAGGAGGACAAGCCACAGGAAAACAAAAACAAAACCCAGGAAAGATGCTCTGGCGAACTTGGAAACTCCCTGTAACTGAAAATGTGTGACAGTAATGACGCAGGACCCTGGCAAACCAAGAGAAGGGTACTCCTTCCAAATTGGAGTCCAGGCACCCCACAAGAAATCAATGGGACCACAGCAGTCGTTTCCCAAACACATGCCCTTTTAAAGCCACCTGGTTATTTATGACGCAAAACGCTGAACTCCTAGTACGGCATTGTAGATCGGGGTTACTGGGGTAGGGGAAGGCAGCTTTCCTTTCAACAAACACCAAACAGGAAACCTTAGACCACAGGAAGAGCCTCGAAGGCTGGGAGACAAAACAAACTAAGCCAGACTTTCCTTGAAAAAACAAACAAACAAACAAACAAACAAACAAACACCATATAAGTCAGATGGAGAAGAAGAAGAAGAGGAGGAGGAAGAGGAGGAGGAGGAGGAAGAGTGAGCAAGTGAGCGAGCCTGTGATACCTCGGCTTGGAGAGTGAGCGAAAATATTTTACCCTCCCGCAAGCAACAAACCGTTTATCAAAAAGCCTCCCCCGCCTCTCACTGCCATTTCTACAAACTCTTTGCATTATCTTCCACGGGAGCAGAAAATCTTTAGGAATATTTGGAAACGAAAAATAATCTGTTACTCTCAGGAAAAAGCCAAAAATAGCACGCAAGCAGGCTTGACCAGCGGTATCTGTCTCTCTCTTTGGGGAGGGCTGAGTGGAGGCGAGGGGAGCGAAGTTGTCCGGCTGTGGGTGCCTGGGGCAGAGAGGTGATGGCTGCTAAAGGAACAACAAGTACTGACTCAAGAGGGGCTCTGTGCACCCCTCCACACACTTGTCCTGAATCCAGTTCTAGCTTGCACGCGCTGCCCTTCTCAAGAACGAAGGCGTGGATTTTGCTAACTGGAATGAGGTGTAGACATAGTTTACTGAAAGAAAGTCAGAGGACTGAGCACAATCAAAAGCTCCAAACACCCTTCCAAACAAATGAATTTGGGCTCATTCCACTCTTTCCAGGGGAGATTTTGTTATGCTAAAGATGAGAAGCCTCTGAATAAAATTTTAATGCAATTAGCACTACTTAGGAGGATACTGGCCCTGGATTCAAATGAATTAACTTGCGGTTAATAATTAAACCCTGCTCGCTGAAAGAAAAGAAAACCTGAAGAATATCGACACTGTTCATCAGAATAAGGGACCTGCCTACAGCTGGGTGGAGGACTTTGGAACCGAAAAGCACGGAGAGGCAGCTTCCAGCTCCCAGACTGGCTTCACTCCCTCCCCCTTTGTGGCTTCAACGTAGAAGTTAGAGGTCAAGTTGTTCCTGTGAAGCACTTGTAGCAGAGGGGCTCTAGGCAGACTCGGAGGAGGCAGAACAGAGCCTAGAGCCCTGGATTTTAACAGCAACCTAAACAGCTATTCCCCCACCCCCCAAATCGGAGTCTATTCTCTGATTTCAGGGATCCAAAGAGCATCCAATTCCAGACCTAACAAGGCGGCCCAAGGCATCCAGGGGTGCTGGATGAAGGAGAAGGGAAAACGGAGCCGGTTGGAGCGAATAAGCTTTGAGAGAGGAGTGGGGAAGATCTCCAAGAGGTTAAAATAAATAAATAAATAAATAAATAAATAAATAAATAAATAAATAAATAAATAAATAAATAAAACAAAGCTCAAGGGCGGGAGGCCGCAGACCCGCAAAGCTGGTGCCCTCAAGGCGGGAGTCCCACCTCCCTGTAGCCCGCTCTTCTCCCACTTCACACCTTCCTCAGCCTGTCCCCCTGCGGCCCCCACATTTCACACCTGTTTCAACCAGGGACTTTATGTAAGCAGTTTGTGTGTGTTTATTAGTGTTTACAGTCAACACGATATAAATCACAACAATGAAAGAAAATGAAAGCCGGCACGGAACTTTGCTTTTTAGTATCCGATTAAGTTTGCTTCCGAGGCGTCTCAGGCTCTCCCGCACCTTGTAAAAATTCCGCTGCTGTGCCCTGGACACTCTATGAACACGAGCTCAAGCTCCCTTTTAGGTCGCCGGGGCTCAAATTTTCATTCTCCACAGCCTCAGCGTTTCGGCACACAATGAAGCAGTCCTCCGGGGACGCGGCCAGGGCAGGAGGCTGTCGGGCCGGTCCCGGGCCACCCTCTCAGAGGCTCTCCACCCATGCACCCACGCGCTCCTACCCACCCTCTGCTCGCCCGCTCAAACGCTAAGGTTCCAACAGGTTTCCAAAAGTTTCACGATCAGAATTCTCAATCCCCAGTCTTGTCTGGAAGGCTGACTCTGGAATCTGGGGTGACGGAGCTGGTCTCTGCTCCCAGTTCCCGGGTCGGTAAGCTCGCCTCTTGGACCTTCCAGGGGCCTAGCTCACTTTCTGCTACAAAACCTACAGCATGGCTACAATCGGAAGTAACCCCCCTCCGTAACTCCATCCAACTTCCAACACGGCATCCTGGGACCTTGGCATGGCACCCAGCAGGTGAAAGGGCACAGAGGTGAACCCCTGACGGTGCAGCCCAGAGAGGACGCGCCCGGCAGACCTCTGCGGCACCGCCCGGACTGGGCAGAGCGAAGTCCCCCGCTTCCTCCGCTTCACCACTCACTAAAGATTAGCGGGGTGGAAAATCATTAAGGTGGGGAGCCCGCCGTGGAGCAGCCGGGTCTGGCAACAACTAGTGTGCCACCCGAACCCCTGCCACGCATCCGGGCAGACGCAGCCGTGCCCCCGCCCCACCTCGGCCCCACTGCCTGGCGCACGCCCCCGCCTCGCACTCAGGGGACACGGCACAGTCAAATGGCATCGACCACACCGCAGACGAGGTGCCCGGCAACACACCCAAGGCCGGGCCCCACCACGGCGACCGGGGGCACGGGAGACAGCACACCGAACAGGGCCCCCTTCCTCCAGGCACCTTTACCTGGACGCCGCAGTTTGTCCAGGCCGCTGCCGCGCAACTAAACAGCACCGCAACGCAGGAAGCGTGGGTGCGCGCGGGTGGGCCGGGTGGGGAGCCTCCTTTCTGGGTCCCGTCGTTTTTATTTAGGGAGCGGGAGGGGGAGGAGGGACGGCTGGGGGAGGGGGAATCCCAAATTAAAATAACCCCGGATAAGAGAACGTTCGGTGGCACCGGGTATTCACACCAGCAAGTCGCGTTCCGTTCGCCTTCGCCAGATGGCGGCGGGTTCAACTTCCCGGGATCTCGCAAAGTCAGGCTGTGCCCCCGAGCGCGCCGCAGGGCGGGCGGCCGGGGAGCGGGACGGGGGCGCGCGCCGGGCTCACCGGTTCCGGACGAGGAGGTCTCCGTCGCCGGGCAGCGGCACCGGGCAGTCCCGGCGCAGGGTGACGGCCTCGCGGAAGGCCGGGCTCAGCCGGGTCGCCACCAGCTTCTGCATGGCCCGGGGGATGGCGGAGCCCTGGAAGTCCAGGAAGTGACGGGCGTACGACATGTCCACGATGCCGCGGGCCGCGCCGGCCGCCAGCCTCAGCATGGCCCGGCCGGCGGCTCCGCCCGCCCACGCCGGCTCGGGCGCGCCCAGCCCCGGCCGCCCGGCTC